TGTCTCTGCAAATCATGTTTATGTCACTGAAGTACTTTTTAAAAGGCAACGGCTTGTAAATACCTTGAGAAAAGATCACGCTTAGCTTACAATTTCTAAATGTGGTATATAACCAGCCATCTCTCGATCACCGTGAGGACACCAGTAAGATACATATGCGCACATGATGAGTGGACAGAAGTCAGATTTCACCTCAAAGTTGTCTTTCAGGGAGCAAAAGCAGTCACACTGAAATCCGTCATATAGAAAACTAATTAACAAATCTCTCAGGAAACAATTATTGTATGGGATTTGTCTCTGAATATTCCAAGCACACAACTTTTAAGTGGCTTTATTCAAAAAGTGTATTCTCTTAGATTTTCATTGTTGTGTTCACTGACCTGAAAAGCCTGAAACTGTGGTGCAAAATTATAATTTTAAAACCTATTTTTCTGATGAAATTAGTTTATTATCCTGCAGCTTAGAGGCTTGCCCTCAGAAATACATGCGTATATGACCCCTCAAAAAATAGACTAATCAATGAAACAGATCAAAAGTGTCACTTTTATTGAATAGTTTTCATGGAGCTAAATTGTTACTATTTAATTAATGTGTGGAAGTATTCAGCTGGAATGTGCCTTCTTGAAAAAACATGAGAATAAATTTGTATTTTAACACATCTATGGTCAGAATGAGAATTAGGGTTAGAGTCGTCATAGAAAGCTCAGGGGTTGTGTGTCAGATACACTTTGAGGCCCCTGAAGTCTGAAGGACTCTTTTGCGTGGCCAGGAATGCGTGTGCTACATCATCAAGTATTAATAGGGGAGAAAGACACAACCGTTCTCATATGACTTCTTTCTTTGTAAAACCATACGTCAGCAAACTTTTTTTTTTTTTATGTCACTTAAGGTTGGCACCTTTGCTGGAGTAAATAAAGTGCATGAGGCAGTCATCTGTATGTGACTCACAGCTGAATAGTAATATGTGATTTTTACCTTTCAACTGAATCAGATACAGACACTACAGCTTTCCCACACAAAGACTGTATTAGTTTCTCAAAAGTGCTTTAGAGGCTGCTTATGAACCTGATCCAAAGCCTATTGCAGTTGGGAATATTCCTGCTTTGAGTCGGTTTTCAGTTGAGATAGATCTTATTGATCTATTTATATAACGTTTTCATGTGTAAAAAAAAAAATGCCTTTCAGATGTGTCAAAAATTTGAAGACTTAATTTTTAAGCTGTTAAGATTCCAGTATTGTCTGGAATCTCAGGCAGCAGATATCTTCTGCTTTGTGAAGGTAAAGGTACAAGCTCCCGTGCCCAGCCTGAATTCCGTTGCAATTGTTTAACCAAAGTGTTCATTGTCAACATCAAGATACTGCCCTCCCAGGCTGGAACTGTTGTGCAGAGTTGCCAGAGATGGCTGGATGGCATTATGTATCAGCAGACGGAGTGTGAGTCAGCAAAATAAGGCTCATTTAAGAGTGGGTTTTAAGCAATAATAGAAATGCTATGACTGACTCCAGTCTCTGATCTCCACTGTTAAACGTGGGCAAGGAACTGAGATTGTCTCTACAGCCATCTGTGGGGAAGCAGGAAGTTTTAGTGGTTGGTGGCAGCATCTAGGAGAATTGTTCAGGCTTTTTAACTGATCATGGCTGTCTCTGAAGATGCCTTGAACCTTCAAATGACCTCCTGCTCCTCTGTTGGAGACCTCTCAGTCCCCTAGTCACAAGGCATTACGGGCATTCCCTGTTCTCACCTATCTTCTGGACCTAGCAGGGCTTAATAAAAAGTGACAGTTAATGTCTTTCATTATTATTTTCTTCTAAAGCTTCACCTCCTATTCCATCTTGATGCAGTCTGTGCTATTTCAGTGCAGTCTTGGTCCTTTGAGAAAGGTTTCTATGATTCTGTGAGAAAAGGGGATGGAGAAATGGTGGCGTACACTTTGCTAGCACACTGAAACAGTGATCTCTAAACTAAAGTCATGTAGAGTTGGCCAAAGGACAAGTGTTCCTTCAAAATTTGGAAGAGAGGAGCGTGCGAAATCACAAGTCACAATGCAATGGTGACATTGCCTTCTCAACAGGGCTGCACAGTGTGGGTGGATCTACTACCTCATCTTCTGGAATAGGTTTATTTAGAGGTAAACCATTATCTTTGCACAAAGATGGGCTCTGGTCCATCGTTCTAGGTGAATGATGGCCACAAATGGAATACTCACTGGAAGATATTGGGAAAGGGTATACAAGGTGAAAAGGGTTGGTAGGTCGCACCTGAGTTGACCTTGTTGAACTTGTATGGAAGGGTTCTGTGCAATTTGATGGCCCTCTCTACTGGCAAGCCAAGAAAGAGCTGGGTACGCCTTCATTAGTATGGGCAGGAGGTGCAGAGCTGGGCTGCAGCTAATGTATTTTTGCAGTGAAGGCTCAAAGAACCCAGAAGTCTGTAAAATGCTGCAGTGCACCATGTTGAAAAGCGGAGCTTATTTCTTGGTCTTTTTCCAAGAAAATGATGCGCATTTGGTTCAAGTATTTATTTGTTTTGAGCAGAGGTCAGGATTGAGCCATGCGCATTAATGAAATCAAATTTTTTAAAAGAAGGAGTACCTTAACAGGCAGTAAACGTTTCTGCTTTGACCAGCAAACAATCATTAAAAGCCTTTATTAAATTTTGCATCTGTTCTGTTCACCACTTAGCCATTTCTTTTCATTCTGAAGGATTACAACTAAGAATGAATGAGTCTTCTCTAATATGGTCAGGACACAATGAATCTGTGAAAGAACTGAGTTATCTTTCTCCCTCATAGGCAAATTTTTCCAATTGTTTGGCAAAACATTATTTTGTATTGCCATGACATCAGCCTTTACGCCTGCGAATAATGCAGCTCAACATTAAGCAACTTGTTTATAAAAAACAGCCATGCAGGAACAATTAGAGTGTGTTTAATGTGCTTCCCCACGAGGGTCTGTACCCTCTCCTCCCACTTACTGATCTTCCCACTGCAGTGGGAAGTTATTTCTGTCTTCAAATGAGCAAACAGGTCTTCTCAGTGAAAAATTTCCTGAGTTCTGCCATATAGAAGTTGGCTTCTGTTGTTCGGTAGAACAGGATCTGTGTTACACTGGTCCAAGCATTTGTCAGCCCAGAGTGGAGGATGGCAGCTCACAGTATCTGGAGAAGAAGGAGACTATCACACAAAGCTTCCCACTACAGAGAAATTGCTGCATCCGTCATCATCCTTTCAACCCAGTTAATACAGTTGTATTAGCCCTGTGCTCCAGTTCCTCCCCCAGCTCACCTCCTTTCTAGTGTGAAATGTGGTTGAATCTTCAAAGTAGCTACATTTCAAAATGCATTTTGCTCAGTAGCAAGAATAATCACAGCCCTCGGGGATAAAGCAGATCACAAAGCCTGAAATGGATCTGCAGTACTTTGGGGGAAGATACTTGTGATGAAGGCTATTGGATAGATCCAGAGTCTGACCAGCTTTGAGAAGCATTACAGAGTCTTTCCATTTGGGTAAAATATTTCCACATAACTAGAATAACAGGTCCTAACCATACCTTGTCATGTTGTACAAGCAGAGCTAACATGAACAAGTTTTTCGTAACTTTGAAAAGGAGACAAACAAGCTGCTGCCTTTCAAAACAGTGTTCATATGCGTTGTAGGCTGAGTTTCAGCTATGTGAGGGAAGTCATCAGAAATACTGGGATGGCCCTTTCCATCACTTAAACACAAAACCAACATCCCCAATGTATTTTTCTGACAAGATGCAGAAAAGAAATTGGTGGTCACTCACTAAATGGGGGTGATATGTATGGGGGAATGGAAACTCAGTAGTAACCAGGGCCACTTAGCTAGGTTGTGAAAAAAATCGGAGTATTTCATTGTCGCTGGGCTGTAGGGGAAGCTGAGCTGTTGGGGCTTTTCTCTGTGGAAGCTTTCCCACCTTTTCTCATCCCGAAGCATCCTTTGCACTAGCAACAACAAACATAAGCTGTTAAGGTGGGTGGCCACCGAGGAACGTGGAGCACCTTGGTTCTGAAATGTTGTACAAACAGGGCACAGCTCCAACAGGAGAGGTGCTGTGTAACTCAGTGAGTAGGTGCTCCTCTCAGGTGTGGGGACAGGTTCAAGTTTGTCCTGAATCCTCCTAATGAATGCTTTATAACAGATTGTATTAGTAATTTCTTCCCAAATAGTGCTGCTCTTCTTGTTCCCTGGATAAGGCTGGGTTTAGATTCACTGAAAATGAAATGGGATTTTTCATTTTTTGGAACCACCTGTGAACTGAAAAATCATTGATTCCCACAGCACTAATAGTAGGCAACGGTTCATGCTGACGGAAAGAGTTATCTCACGGTCAAAAAGATGAGTTTAGGGAGTAAATATATTGTTATAGCAGGTGTGACCTAGTATGATACATTTAGATTCTTTTAGAAAATACTTTCTTATTCTATGCTCAGTCCACGAAATAAATTTCCAGTGAAATTTTAATGAACAACTTGAAGTTGGTACAGGCATCTTAAATGACCCCATCTTAAAAATCATATCCAGGGGGCAAGGTTTCCAGGTCACCAACCCCATAATGAAAAGTAGCAGATACCCTCCACTCTTCAAAGGTTGTCAAGTATATTGTGGTCTTCAATTGTAAATAACCCAAAATAAGTACTCGGACAGCTGTCAGATTGTGCCGTCATTAACCAGTGATCTCCAAACTGTGGTTTGCAAGACAAAAAACTGTAGCACCAGAGCTCCCTGTGATGGTATTGGTAGGTGTGGCGTTTTCAACTAAAAGTTTGATGGTCATCTGTGATGGAGAAAATTCAATGGTATAGTCTGTTATTCCAAAATATTTGGATGTTACTGCCAGAAAAAACATCCAACTTGAGGAGCAGTTCTTGAAAATGAATGAGAAAGTGCTTGTTGCTTTATGAACCCAGCTTGGTCACCAGGGGTAGGAACTGTGTTAGTATTCTGACCATTGTTGGGTTTTCACTTCTTCCATTTTAGTTGGATGCTGAGAAGGCAAAATTAAAACTGGAAAGATGGGCTTCCCGAGATGCTGGCAGTGGGGGTGGAAGAAGCGAAGAGATGGAGTCCAGCGGGGATTGTGACGATGAGGATGGCTGTCAAGGATCCGGTGACAGGATTCACACAGCAGGTAAATGCAGTTTCTATAAGCACATACAGAGCTTAGAAATTCATAAATGTCACAATTAGGTGGACAGAGCTAAGACTTGAACTGCTTGAATTACTGTCAAAATCCTACTAAATTCAAAGGATTTGAATCTTAATCTGTGAAGAGCTGCAGTAAAAATAGAATAATAGAGACAGTAACCCAATATAATTTAACACTTGGCGTGCAGATAAAAGACTTAAATTTAGAGTGAAAAATATCAATGTAGTCTAGATCACAGAAATACTGGAAGAGCCTTCCGAAATAATGTGGGCCCTTCAAATAAATAGAAAATTCATGTCCTTATAGACTGTGCTAAGTGTTAACATAAATATTTATTGGTCGCATATAATACTGAACGATGATCCAAACAGAGTTTCCTTTGGAAAGTATATATTCTTGAATAAAACACAAGAGGTATTGGGGTTTTTCTAGTGGTGAGCTGCTGGTTAAATGAAATTTCTTGATAGTCTCAGATATGCATTCCGCAGTATTTATTCATGTAATTACTTGGATAAGATATCATCAAATGTAGAATCAGCATCAGAATCTAACTTAACTTCCACCAGAATACTGGCAATTTAATACACAGTTATGTCTGTGCTTTAGTAAGTCTTGAAGAAGTGAAGTGTTTCCTTCTAAGTACTTGATATTATTGGTTTATCTTGTCTGGAAGTTCTGATTCATTTCAACTCATCAAAATGTAACTGCTTTAACTACCATAGTGTGTGTAAATATAATTTGGGTTGGATGTGCAAGTATATGAAATACAGGTACAATAGTGTTGAAAAATAACGCTCAGTAAGATGGCTGGAACTCAGGTAAGTTTTAAACTGCTTCTTCATTCAGCTGAAATAAACTCGTGCCTCTTCCTTGTCCCTTTGCCACCATGTGGAGAGGAGGAAAAGGTATCCCACATTTAAGTAAGACGTGCAAACGAGATGTGATTAGTCTATAGTAAGACTTCAGTTGTCCCTATTATGAATGTTTGTTCAGGAAAACCAAGCTTAAACACGTATTTTGAAATGTGTGCAAAATGTTAGATTTGGTTTGCAGTACCAGGTTATAAATACCTGAAATGTAATTTGTGTTGATGAGCTGTGTGATCAAGATACACAACGTATTATGACATAGGGACAGTATTTTTAAAAATTATTAAATAATTGCCTGTAACAGATCAATTTGAGTTTTTCACTGTCTGCTCACCAATGTTTTTGAAGAGAAGAACTTTGGTACGATGTTATTTTAAAACTATTTCTTAGCTTTTTTTATTGTTTATTGTACTATATACATAAGCAATGAAAAGACTTCTGGATCTTTTGGGCCCTGGGGATTTGTGAGGGCAGACACATTAATACGCTTTCCTCTCTATGTGGAATAATACAAACAAAAGGCAGGTGCTAACTACTCTTCAGTGAACAATTAAACTATTAATACACTCTTTGGGAGGATGTGCATGCATGCTTACATGGACAATGGCAGATTTCAGGTGTTCAAAAATAAAAACTTGCATACTTTCAAAACCTGACTTAGAGCTGGCTTTGACAGTGGAAAACTACTTAATGTCTCTTTTTCACCCTATTTTGCAATGTATTTAATTATATTTTATGCTGGTATCATCCTGGATTGAAAAGAATTATGTAACTAGCTTTTTCAGAATTCAGTAGGGTTTATATCCAATTAAAAAGGTAATTACAATTAATTTTAGAAGATGGTCTTGATTCATAACAGGAAGAATAAGTATTTCTTTGTGTGACAATAGTAATGCTCTTTCATAATTAGCTTTAAAATATTGTACTGTATACAAGCCACTAGCAGAAAATCTGTTTTGCATATTTGGATACAATTAAGAGATAAAATTGAGTAATCTCATTATAGGGCTTCTTTGCTTTAATAGAATGTTAAAGAAATAAACATCAGATTAGTTGAATTTCCTCTTGTTGCATGTCTGTAAGATGGTGTTTCTAATTGTTCAGCCTGTGAATTGGTTGTATTTCCTAAACTTAAAGCCTGTCAAGTACATCTGGCCATTGTTTTGTAGAAGTGGAACATGACAACACTGACTCTTCCTTGCTTGCTTGAAGTGCGCAGTGAATTGAGACGTGAATTTAAGCTAAAGCTAAATCCCCAATAAAACCCGGATTTGAAGTTTAGTAGAGTCAGTGGGAATATTCTTGACTACAGCGGGTTTGGATGAGACATAAATGATAGATATAAAATGCCACCGATCCAATCAGTGCACGTTGTAGCATGTAGTCATACAGTAGAACAAAAGGTGTAAAAAAGGAATAAAAGCCTTTCAAAATACAACCTTTTGGCAGCAGTCATGCTTTTAACAACAGGTCCATGGAAAAGAGAAAAGAGAGGAAAGAATTTCAATGTCAGCCTCTAAAATCCTCAGTTTAGAATGTAGTAAAAATGTATTGCATCTGTCATTTTTTTGAAACTTATATGAAAATGATATTTATGTGTTGAGAGAGCTGCTTTGAGCATTGCAAAAGACTCAGGTTGCTTTTAAATAGTTTCTGAAAACCTACTGAAGGCTCATTCCTTTCCACCTCCCAGAAAAAAATTTGCCCTTTTATTAATTATGAATTGCCAGGAGTTTCATCAATATCTAGGTTCCATCTTCGTCTGTTCTTAAGCATTGAAAGATCCCCTGGACAGGATACACTACCTTCTCCCCAGTTTCCTTTTCCAAATTGCTAACAGAGGGCTGGCTCCTAGCGTTTAGAATTCAGCATGTCCCAGGTAGGTAAACAGAGAGGTGCTTCTCTGCTTGTATATTCCAGACAGGTCCATTGTTATATCCTTTGCCCCAATTTTTTTTCGGTAGGGCACTGCTGTCCGTGTATTTCAGCTTATCTTGCAGTGAATAGTCAAATCCTCTCCTTCTGTTTGTCACCTTTTAGCCTTTGAGAATCATTTCTGCATATCAGTTAATAATTTTATTTTATGTCTTCAATTAAGATACATGGCTATCTATTGTTTAGTGCTGGGGTTTTGTTTACTTCTGTTACAAATAAGTCTTTGCTTGCCAAACTAAACTCATTGTTACCTAAGAAGATCACCACTTAACTGCTTTAATCAGAACAGGCTTAACTGTCTGTTCTGTCTCGTGTGTGTTTATCCAAATGATTTCATCTGAACAAGATAAACAAATTCTTAGGAAACCAGCGTTCTCTTAGGAAATCATGTATGACAGAAGATACTTTAAAATGTCATATTCTCACAGGCTTTACCAGTTACCACAAGTATCTCTTCTTGGGGAAAGCTGTGGAAACAGCACTGTTTCTCAAGCAGACCCATGTGTTATTTGTTGGCAAGTACCAACTTTTTAATGACAACATCTGTTAATCATTTTTGAACAAAGCTCTGCTAGAAGAGATTTCAGAGGAAAGCAAGCCATATAAATCTGGAGCACGGAGAGGGAAGTTGCTGTGCCATTTGCACTGCTCCAGTCCTGCAGGTTTCTAGGCAGAAGTGCAAAGCAGCGTCTCAGTCAGAACCTTGCTTAGTGCTGCGTGATCTTGTAAGCATAGTCTTACATGAATTGCAATCACAAAATGAGTCCACTGATGTAAGTGCTTGTTCTTAAACCCTCACTGGACCATGAAGGGTGATGGTCATGGTGTGGAGAAGAGCAGGGATTGCTCAGTGCCTTCCAGGATCAAGCTACAAGAATATTTACTAGGAGAGGGGTTAGTATCCTGCCGTTCATGAAAAGACAAAACAGCTACAGATTTACACTATGTTATGCCTCTCCTCAGAGAAAAGGAAAAATGTTTCAGTCTGTTCAGTGAAAAGTGGGAAGGAAGTTAGTGGGGGGGATTTCCCATTCCCAGCTGTGCTGCACAGCTGTATGTCATAAGGAGGCCCCACCCAAGCGGTGACAACCAACATTAGATCTCTATGCAGGGAATTCATCACATCTTTAGCCATTAAACAAAGTTCAGAGGAAATGTTTAGACCACAGGCGGGGACCTGAGCTTCGTGCAAGCCCAAAGTCACCTATATAGAGCTCTAGGCTTTGTGGAAGTTGTGGAGCGCTATGTTGAAGAAAGCTTGTGCTGACACCATCTCTTGGCATGGGTCCTGTATGCACACCTGTCTGTGGGTGGGAAGGACACGGGGATTCCTGGCCTTGCTCACTAGTGTAGAATCATTGAATGGTTTGCGTTGGAAGGGACCTTAAGAGATCATCTCATTCCAGCCCCCTGCCATGGGCAGGGACACCTCCCACCAGCCCAGGTTGCTCAAAGCCTCATCCAGCCTGGCCTTGAACCCCTCCAGGGATGGGGCATCCACAGCTTCTCTGGGCAACCTGGGCCACTGCCTCACCACCCGCACAGGGAAACATTTCTTCCTAACATCCAGTCTAAATCTCCCCTCTTTCAGCTTAAAACCATGACCCCTCATCCTAGCATGCATCACTGTACTGTGTATGAAGCTGTATGTTTGGCATAGGCAGCGTAAGACAGAAATCTGTCCAAGCTTCATTCTAGAGGAGCCTGATACAATATTGTGCAAAGTCATAGGGAATGCAGGTAGTGCTGGACTACAGCTGTCCTCTTGTTGGCAAGGCAGGCACACAGCACAGGGTAAGGAAAACATGTTTTAGCCTGCCGTTAGGCCTTCCTCCACTGAACGGAATAGGCAAAGCCAAAATGTCTGGTGTACATGAACTGCAGCCTTTGCACCAGATGCACCCCTCTGTGGGTATAATCTGTGTATGGGTCAAAAACCTCAGCCCTCAGATGGGGCATATATGAATGCCACGCCTTCTGACATGCCTTGAATCTTCAGATCATTGGGAACCAGAGACATGGATTTTACCTCTCCCCTGCCTGCCTGCTCCACACAGAGATGGGCTTCTGCTTTGTCCCCGTCCCAAAAGCAGTGGGTTTCTGTGGAATAACAAGAAGTGCCTGACCAGTGCTGACCTTTAGCCACAGCAGATTTTAAGCAATACTTTAAAATCGTAT